AATCAATTTTTCTATGCTATAACTGCATAAAATATTGGTGTTTTGAATGTTGGTGTAATCAGTGATATTTTCGCTGTCAGGTGAGACTATATTCAGCTTTATTTCGTTTTTCTGAGCAAAATTCTCGCAATGATCGTTTTAACAAAGGACTGAACTGCTTTTGCTATTAGAGCATCCTCCACCCCCTCCCCCACCACCACAACTACGCTCTGCTCGACGCATATCCATGATAACATGTTAATATAGCAAAGTCATTAAAGTTACACAGCTGTATCTTTATTACTGTAATACCAGTAGGTATAGCAAAGCCTATCATAGATTTTAGATCTGTATTAGTAGTATCAAGAGTTAATGAGACAAAAATTTGTATAGTATACTGGTAGTATCCTAGATATATGCTCTGAGCGCGAACGCGGTGGCAGGAGGGCGCACTTGATTCGGTTGACAGTGAGTTTATCAGAAGAATACCTGGCTACAGTACACCTCAGTTGAGCGCTGTCGCTCTGCGGCACTTGTTTTAAAATTTGGGCGAGTACAGATTCCATTTGGGCGAGTTAACTTATTGACTTACTCGCTCAGTTTGGCGAGCGAGGTTTTTATTTTAAAGCTCTAACACAAATGTAGGTGAATAATTAAACCATTTTATCACCATGTAAAATCTCTTTCTTACGCTTGCACGCCGCATTATACTTTTATTACTTTTTTTATTACTTTTAGAGAACAATTTGAAATTTAGGAAGACCATCTAAAATTTAGGAGGACCATCTAAATTTCAAACTAGATGGTCCTGTGAGCATCTCTTTTTTTCTCCTTATTTCTACCCCTGTATTATATAGTACACCCCAAACACCTTTCTATCATACTCATCACACTTGTGGAATGCGTGCGGCCACATACAGAATATCTGGGGTGAAATAAACCCACAACCCGGCTGGTGGACTACAATCACAAAGTGGGTGAAACATGACATGCATGATACGGGGGTGACATACAACGACAACCATGACAGATGGATGACACACGACTACAGCCATGACAGATATAGGTGGCACACGACTACTACAACGACACGGTGTTGACATACAACTATAACTAGGACACGGTGGTGACACAGGACTACAACAACGACACCAGAATGGACAGGACTACAACTACGACACGGCGTTGACATACAACTACAACTAGGACACGGTGGTGACATACAACTAAAACTACGTCACGGTGTTGGCATACAACTACAACTAGGACACGGTGGTGACACAGGACTAAAACTACGTCACGGTATTGACATACAACTACAACTACGTCACGGTGTTGGCATACAACTACAACTAGGACACGGTGGTGACACAGGACTAAAACTACGTCACGGTATTGACATACAACTACAACTACGTCACGGTGTTGGCATACAACTACAACTAGGACACGGTGGTGACACAGGACTAAAACTTAACGTCATCGGGTGTTGACATACAACTACAACAAAGAGAGACCGGGTATCAGGAGGCGTGTCGCGCAAAAGCATGCAGTTGTTCCCCTGACCGCCAAGAGCGGTTAAACGCCGCA